CAAAAACCACATCTTTATTTTTTGTAATAAAGTAACAGTTATAGGTATTCATATTTATAATATTTATCCACATGTTTCTAGTTTGTATATTCGGAATACGTGTTTGAGTTTCATACAAGTGCAAATCACATAATATGTTCTAATAAATTATATTCAGTAGCGATTTTAATTGAATATTTTGTTTATTTATTTATTTTTTCAAATTAAAACTGAACTTTATTGACTGTGTCCTTTTCCAGACTTTTTATTAATTTATTGTAATTAATTATTTGCATGCAATTAAAAACTAATTTTAAACGATGCCAAAGAAGGATAACTTCTCACGCGCCTACATAAGTACACGCACCCATTTTTTTTTTACGCAGGTAAAAAATCTTTTTTCAGACGACGGCGCCTTTAAGAGGCACACCGCCGAACGGACCTCACACCTGGCTCCCGCAAGTATTACGGACCCCCCAGTGGCTACCCACCGAGGACCCCGCAACTCTTACGGGCGCTTTACGGTATAATATCCGCTAAAAAAGTCCTGCGAATACCTCTACACTGCTTAGCGCGAAGCCGCGGGATCCCCGTTTAGGGAGTCTACCACGGCTCCACCCCCAGCAGCTTCCCGGCCTCGCCGGGGCTCCACGGCAGGGGTCTCCCGCGGTATTTCGGGGACTCTGCAGACGTGCGCGCAGGTAGGCCCGCGCGTGGGGGCTGGGTACGCGGCCTACTGCCCACCATACCGCCCCCCATCCGCTGCGGATGGCTGTACAGGAGTACCCGTACAGCTCTCCGCCACCCCCCCTTTGCAGGTCAGAACTGTAAGAAGGGGGGTCGCCGTTCCTGGGGGAGTGGGAGGGGGAGCGATCTCCCATCCTTCACTCCTCTCTCTGTCACCCGCCTCTCCTCGCCCCTTCTCCTTAGAGAAGGAAGGCGGTTAAGTTGGGGGGTCCGAGCGGCCTAGGCTACTCGGACATCCCCCCCTCCGAGGGCGTCCGTCCGGGCGCCGCCTCAGAAGCCAAACGTTCGGGAGGCTTCCCTTTTGTGACCGGCGGGTCACACCTCCCGCTCCCCATTATGTGGTCTGCCGGCCGACCACACGCCGTGCACACCACACATCTGGCGGGGGCAGCACACGTCGCCGCCTTGTGCCCCGCTGCCCCGCACCGGAAGCACAGGGTGCTTCGGTCTTCTTTAGCCGGGCAACGCGCCGCCGCGTGCCCCCTCTCCATGCACTTGAAGCAGTGCGCGCGCCGGCTTAGGACGGTCACCTTGGCAAGGCATGCTTGCCCTGCTGTTGGTGGGTCCAGAAAAAATGGGTTTGCTGGAGCTGGGGGATGTTTTGTCCGTAAGGCCTGAAGGGTGTCAGGGGTATCTGGTGACAGCACATCGTAGGAGAACAAAAGGCGAACGGCACCTTAGAGATCTCCGTCACAGATTTTGTTTTCAACGAGTTTTTTGCGATTATGAGGGGCATCATGTTTGATTAGAGGTGCGGGAGAAGGCGAGGAGCTTACAGCACAGTTATTCTTAATCTTTTGTGTCAAGGATAAATTCGGTTCATCAGTTTTTAAGATATGAAGTGTGCTGTATGAAAATAAAAATATGTAGGTTCTGCCAGTCTTGAGTAAAATTGCTTAAATAACATTTCTGGATTAATTGTGACAAATGTGTAGCAACGGTTATTCGAGCTCCTCGCGGGATTCTTTTAACTATTGGTATACTATTTTTCAAATGGCTGAGATATGTGTGGAAAGGAGTTGGATCGTTGGCATCATAAGCAGGCGCACTCGGAATAATGGGAAGGATGTCTAAAGGTGAATGGTTTTGACTAATACATTGCCTGTGTGTTTTTGAAGTGTGTATGTTGAGGCCTTTCAAAGATTTAAAAGACTTGTGGCACTGTGTACATGTGTAGGTCGCGTTCGACGTGCCATCACAAGATTGGGTCACGGACTTCACAATAGTTAAATACATTCAAAAATAAATAATAACTAAAACAGATTTAAAAACACAAAAAGTAACTTAAAATGTACACTAATGAAACTTAAAATGAAAACATAAAAAGTCAAAGTGTATATGACAGCTGCTTCTTTTGGTGACAAGACACATGCGTCGTTACCTAGGTCCGTCAAGGTTGCTAGGCCGCCGGAGCAAATCCAGCCTCCTATTGGCTGAGTAGTAGCGGGTACCTAGCGACAGGCGTGGATGACCAAGGCGTCCTTAGTAACACAATTCGCTCGGGGAAATGTCAACAAAATAGCAGACTTTATGTAATCACATTCCAGGCAAATACATCAGCACTCAGGTTGCCCACATGCGGGGTCATAAAGAAAAATTTAGGCTGGAAAAATATGGTATTTTTTACCAATTATGGGTCATAATAATAATTTTAAAATCCAAAATATGTGCAGAGGAACTGACAGTTCAGTTGACTTTTTTTTTGTGTGTATCTATGTGTGTATATGTGTGTGTGTATATAGGTGTGTATTCTGTAAAGAGTATTTGTATCCTTTGTATATCCTACATTTGTCTTTATTGCGCCCCCGTCATATTGGTTTTTTCTCACGCTCTTACTGGTCGACTGGTAGAGAATGCCTTATGGCATTTTGTCCGCCATTTGCTGTGTTATTTTGCAATAAAGATTAAATAAATAAACATTTATAATCGCTAATTGGTCCTTGTTAGACTTTTTACTGTTACTGTAGTGCTGCTGTAGTGTTAAAGTATCTGTTACTTTTACTAAGGACCATTTAAGTGGTTTTATCTCATCGGCACGTTCCCCTGGGGTATATCAGAAAATTATGTTGTAAATCTTTGATCCTTATTTTTGCCAAAATCAAACGAAATTCAACAGTTTTGCCGGTTCCCAAAATATGTACTTTTTTGTTCATCTGTTAATGAATTACAGTAATTATTACTACTAATACTGACAAACCTTCTAAAGCTATCACATTGTTATCTTTTTACCGGCTATAGAACTTCGATCCTTTTTTATGTTTGGGGAAATGCCTTACGCATCCTTCAACCACCGAGGAAGCGAGAAGAAGTTAACTGGGCCATAGTACTTCCATCCTAGACAATAATTTTAGGTTTTTCATTAAACTTTTTAAGTTTCTCTGTTCTGCTCTGAAACCGATCCGAGCCACATCAGGATTTATGTATTCTTAAAATATAACTGGATCTTGAATTTGCGCAGGGAAAGTCCCGCTTTTTTAAATTATTACTACCCCGAATTTGATACGGTATTAATTTTCAAATATAAAACCACTTACTTTATATTTATTTAATAGTAAGCAGATTGATGAAAAAGCAGATTTGGTAATTTTTTTTTTGTCTGAATCACTAAGTCCAGACGAATTCGTGGGCAAAAGCTAGTCCATCATAAAAAGAAGAAGAACGTGACGTTAACGTAGCGTTTAGGTAACAAATTCGCTATAAGTACGAAGAGTTTGCCACTTGACAGTTGAAAGATTAATGAAACAGTGTAATATAGGTATAGGTATTAGCAATAATCACATTATGTGATCAATTCATTAATTTATTTAACACCTTAGGTAAGTACGTAGGGTAAAAGCCGGATAGTTGCCGCAGTTGGATACTTGCCCCGGTTTCGAGTACACTATATTAAGGATAATGTTGGCGTTAGTGCTCGTCCATAATATAAAGTATCTTTCCCGAAGGCTTTAATGTTATGTTAATTGTAAAATAAGGCGTACGGGTTTCTTCCGTGTGAGCAAATTCTTCAAAACGTTGACTAACGTCGAAATCATATTAGTGAGAACAATATTTTGAATATTTTTTGAACTGATTGAGGATTCAGTAATCTTTTAGTTTCTCTGCATGTATTTAATGTTTAATTTACATTTTTTCTAATGTTTTGTTTTTGAATAGTTTTTTTTTATAATAATAACTATAAATTGTTTATCGTTAAAATACTGATTTTAATGTTTTCCAACTCATTGTGAATATTTTTTTTCTTATTATTTATTATTATTATTCAATACATAAAATTAATATTTTGAGAGTGAAATGCTTCGTAAATATCCTTTAAAATAATAAAAGAAGACAATTGCCAGCATCTTCAAGTGGGATTCAAAGGAAGAGGGGAACTTCAAGATACAAAAATCAATATTAAAAACTGCTTACATGAATTGATATAAATATGTTTGTATCTTCAAAGACCTTCATACTCACTAAAATTAGGAGGATTCGAGGGACACTTGCCCTTTGTGGGAATAGACCACTCAGTCTATTCCTCAAATAATGTTAACTTTAGGCTACTGTCGTTAATTACGTTTACAAACAAAGGATATTATGAAAGATGAAGGACGTTTCTATTGATATACTTGATGCATTACTCCTTACTTAGGTCCATATTTTTGAACAAAAGAGCTTTATCGAATAGTGGGGCAAATATCTGGCTTTACCCCTATACTCTGTGATAAGCAATATTCGAGCGAGATAACTGTAGTTAATGGCTTTTATCTTACATTTTTCGTGTCAATAGTTGTATGTAGTTGTTATAATCAATATTTATTTAGTTTTTAAAATACTTTTATTTTAAGCAATAAACTGTTTGAGTTTCTTATTCTCTAGTTAAATTTTCTTTTAATATTCATCATTCAAAACAGATGTTTTTAATCATCAAAAGCTTCTAAGTTTTACTATAGTTCAACGAGCTCAACGTTGATGCAAAATCATGGATGGATGGTGAAGATGGATCATGATGACCCAATAAAATTCGTCTCAGTGCAAAAACGTGGGTGCAAAGAACTGTAAACAAATGAGGCAAGTAAGGTACACCAAGAACTAACGTAGATTTAACGTATTTCCGGTCACCCATCCCATCAAATACTGCAATTGAAGACGGAAAACTTTTAGGTACTTATCAGAATAACAAGATTTTCTTTATTTGACGAACAAATAATAGAAAATCTAATGTCTCATAAAAGTTATCAAGCGGGACAGTAAATAAAGCAGCTAAGATAACAAAAAAATGATAAAAATCTCACCGCAATGTTTCGTTATCCTACAGGATATATCCGTGAAGGAGATAGATGTGCACTTCCGTATGTCGTTAATCTGAACAATTTCTGTGGCCATTGTGTATTTTCGTTAATATCCTCGCGTTATGGAAATATTTGCGCGCAGATACGAGTACGTTCCGGTGGGCACACAACGCTAGACTGACAGGCCAGGATTGGGTTCTGTTTACGGGTGACACATGAATGTAATCGCAATGTCTGTTGTTATTACAACTTTGTTTGGTTAACAATTGATTACATAATTGGGACTGAAAGCGGTAGGTATATGATGTATATTGGTTTTACATATTAAGTACTTAACTCGAGTTCCCCATGTTTAAGGTTCCGTACTCAAACTGTGACACGGGACCCTATTAGGTACTACACCGTCGCTGAACGGGCGAAGTTCGTTTGTTCTTCAGCGTTAGTATAGTACTTGTTAGTAGATACCTATCGAAAACTGTAGCAAGTCAAAATTTTCACAGAATGTGTACTGCTTACATATTTGTATAAGTTTAAAAATGAGAGGACACTTTATATTTTGGAAAGAGAGGAGATATAATTGAAACTTGCTATGACTGTATTGTTAATGTTAAGTTTTAAAGGAAAAGGTTGGCGTAGAGTCGTATAAGGGGATCAAAGGGTTGGCGGAGGATAGGGGGAGATGGAGTTGAATACACAGTCTGCACCACAAGAGCATAGCTCTTAAATTTAGAGAGAGACGATGGTACGAACTCATTTTTTGTAAGTTGTTTTCGTGAGTTGATTCTACAGAAATGTCGCACCCCATTGGAAAAAAGGCATAAGGCATAACCATATTACGTTGAATTGGCAATTTTATCATATTTGAAAACTATGTTCGAAGTTACATACGCTTTTCATAATTTTCTTGTTAAATTTGACGTGTTAATAATTATAAGGTTGATGTTAATGATAATAAAGAAGAGATAATTCTTTGAGACATTTACCGCCATATTGCAAATCGTACATTAAAGTTAAACCTGGGCTAAAACTGATGCTGGCACTTTTGTTTGTTAAAAAGAGGAAAGAGATAACATTAGGTTAAAACTTAGACTAGCTTTAGTCCGCGTTTTGGAATAAGGGGGTTGAAGTTTCATTCTGTTGATTCTGACTAAGCCTTCGCTGTTGTAATATAGGGATTGGAGCAGAGCAGTTAGATGGTGAAGTACCCCTATTTCTATGAAGTCTCCTATAAGCATTCCAAAAGCAAAGCTTTGCTGTAATCGACGAAACGAACGAGGTGTCGAACTCGTACCACTTTTTCACTATTTGTGTGTGGTAGAGAATTTGCTCCCTAGTCCCTTGGCCTTTACAAAATCTGCTTTTTCCTGCGGGATCGGCCAATCAAGAAAGTGTCGAATTCCGTGGTTGATCACGTGACGCAAGATTTTACTGGCGTGTGATATCAAGGCGAAGGTGGGTTATTTGTCATATTTTATGGTTGAACCCTTTTTTGTGCAACGGGTGGATAATAGACTGTGTCCATTTCTTAGGCCTCATGTGGTTGCAGATGTTATGCAGCGCGTCTATACCGTTTTCCCCCAAGGTTTTGAGCACTTCATACGTGATTATATCGGGGCCTGGCTCCCTATTGTTATTCAAGAGCTTAATTGCGGCCACTATCTCAGATTTTAGGATGACAAACCTTTTCTAGCGTTTCCCACTGAAGCCGGCTATTCACAGTTGCTCGAGGTTTCTGTAGGAATACATTTTATTACGCAAAAGGTACAGGCAATTATTCAAAATCTTTATTTTGTTAAAAGTTTATTATGCGTGTTAGATATTAACTAAAAAATATTTTGTTTACGGAACCGAAAAATGCTCATGTTTTTACTTGACAGTTATTGTTGAATTATATTATTTATTCAGTTTTTCCAGTTGTAGTCGAAAACTAAGCTGATTATTTCGGTTGATTTAAAAAATAATGAATACAAAATACATATTTCGGTTTACCCTTTAGTCATAAATAATAACATTGGGAAATATCTGTTAATACGGATGTAACATTTGGTATCACAAATTTATTAGTTACATGTTTTCAATGTATGGTTTTGTGGGAAAGTCTGGTATAATTTTTGATAAACAGAATCTTATATTTTAAGTGTATTATGAAAAATAGCATAATATTTTATCTTTATAATTCCTGGCAAACTAGAAAAATTAACAATAATTGAAAAATAACACGCAAAGTAGTATTTATTCTTGTTTTTAATATATAAAAATATTCTTCTTCCACTGGAAAAAAACGTAACGGAGTCCATAAATTCAGTTTTTTGGCCGTACTGCAAAATCAACTTTTTTGGCTTATGCCTTTTTTTTCCACAGAGGGTGTGATGTAGCCTGGTCAGTTGCCGTTCTTTCATTATTAAAATATTGACGGGAAAGTGCTTTATCTCTGTCAGAAATCCTATATTATAGACACAATTACAATCCTTTTATCACTTGAAAGCGCCAAGGGTTTTCAAGTGATAAAAGGATTGTAATTGAGAATTATCTTATTTGCTCTTGTTTTATTTACTTAACGTTATTCGCTATTATAACGTTAAGCAGGATGTTGTGATTTAATAAATTATAATTATTTTTTATTATTGTAATTATAAATGCTGTTGATCATAGGACTGGTCAATGTCATAGGTGACTTTGTATCACTACTATTAGGTATATGGAATACTTTTGTTTTCCTTAACGGACTACGATGGTCGATGCAGTAGAATTGATCTATTGTTTGTAAGAATGTTTTTCTTATAAGTTTTTACTTGTAAGTAGAATATTCGATCAAATGTGATTTACTAACATCTAAGTAATATTTCATTCATATTTCATATACAGTGGAACCAGCTTAATACGATTTCTCGAATAATACGCCATTTTGCGTCAGTCCCTGCAACCTGAGACATGTTTTTATACATTACTTAACGCTTAATACGATTCGTCATCCCGTTTAATACGTGTAAATCACCAATACATATAACCTCTTGCGGCAGCATAAAATTCAATGAGAATATTAATAACACAAGAAGAGGCCCTAAGTGATAATGATAAGAAGAAGATGAGTCAAATCCGATTTGGTCACACGACCAAGCATTATTGGCAGTTAATAAATTGCAGGACGCACAGCAAAAGTTAAATTATGTTGAAAATATTGGTAATGCCTCAAAATCTTTTTAACAAACTAAAATAAGTGGTTATATTAAATAAAGTAATACAAATAATAATACACCACATTTTTATAACATACAGAATTCTTAAATATTGTACATCAATAACTACATTCGAAATAACTTTTATCCCGCAATCTAGCGTAAGACGCTTTCCCACTTAAGACGCGTTTTTGGTTGAGTCCCTGTGAAATCGTCTTAAACGGGTTTTACTGTACCATTGTTGCATATAACTTAAATAAATCGTTGTGAGAGTTTAAGTCATGGTTATGTTAATTTAATATTATAAAAAAATAAAGTATCTTTATTGACATGATTTTATAATTAATTATAAAAGCAAAATTTTTAATTCACCTGCACGCATGATAAAAAAGGCAAGGAGCCCTGTTAGGTAAAACATCTGCACGTCTAATTTAAATAAATCAAGTTTAGATTGTTTAAGTACAGGAAATAAAGAAATATCAATATTCTAATGTACTTACATTCATATGTACTAACATATCTTTAAGTCATAACTGATAACAGATAATATTAATTTTATTGTACAAATAATAAATGTTTGGCTGGCTGCACCAACGTCACTTGATAAATTATAACTGATTACACCGGCAAACACACACAGATTTAATTGTATTATTAAAATCTTATTTATAAATTTTAACTCATCTATTCTCTTTGTTCATCAATTTTCTTTCTTTCTCGCTTGTCTGTTATTTTCATTTCTTCGTTGATGATTTGCAAATTTATGTGGAGACTACTGTTGCGGTAATAGCTGCTGGTATATCTCAGCTAAATCAGCTCAGATCTATCAAATATAAGTTCGTGGTCTGCAGACTTTGGAATCGCTGTTAACCCCACTAAATGTTAGGCAATCGTATTGTGTGACTCCAAGCAGATCTCTTAGATTGATTTTGGCAGACTTCCACTTGATGTGTTTGAAGGTTCTACAATTCCATTTAGCCTCAGCGTCAAGGATCTCGACCTTTACATTGAGACCACACTAAGTTGGACGTCGCAGATTGCTGAGCTCAGCCGAGCCGTTACTTTCCATTACGTTTCCTTAATCACTTCAGGAATATTCTCGCCATAAAAACTAAGATCACTCTCGATACGTCCCTTATTCTACCACTCATTGATTATGCCGATGTCTGTTATGCTGATATAAACGCAGATCTTCTCAATAAATTACACCACCTCATCAATAACGCTGTCCGTTTGAGGCCATACGACTATGGAATGACCTCTCCTACTCCATCAGAAGATCTCCTACTAAATTATATTTAAAAGGAATGTTTACACTTATCTATTGCAAAATAAAGATAGAGAATAACTTTATTATTCATATTTGTTTCTTAGGTTTTCACGCACATCACTCATTAAATAAAACTAGTTTTTACGGGTTAATGCACGAAACTTTATTTATTTATTGACGTTTCGTAGCCTTTACAGGCTACATCGTCAGAATCAAACTTTTATTTAATTTGTAAAGTATTTGTAAAGGCTACGAAACGTCAATAAATAAATAAAGTTTCGTGCATTAACCCGTAAAAACTAGTTTTATTTATTATTCATGTGAATATATATAGTGTCTTTCATTTATTCGCAGGTTGACTGGGAGAGAATGCTATTAGCATTCAGCCTTTTTGTACCATTCTTTGGTAAGGTTTACATAAATAAGTAAATTAATAATGTGTAAAACTATAGTTTAGATTTTTTTTCATAATTGGAAGTCTGGATTTAAACATATATTATTATACTTTGAAGTTTTGGAGGTTATGTTATACTAAGTATTATAAACACGATTTTTATGACAGTATATTCAAGCAAAGATTAAAATTTTGGTATTCAAGAGTATTTTTAAACTAAAGAAAAGATACGAGGAACTGTAGAAGTATACCGG